TGAAGCCCCTGGGATATTTTCAAAATTTTCACCAAAATGGTGATGTTGATTTTGATTAAATTTTCTTCTTAGATAGTCTGAAGGACATTTAAGAAAAGGGTGCAGGTCTAATGTTAGTTGAAAACTCTAATTTTTCAAAAATTAAAATATTTAAATTTTTTCGGCTTTTTTCTACAACTAAAATATTAATTTTTCTTTCTTAAAAATGTTCCTTATAGATAGACTTTGAAATAAGATCATGTACAATTCTGCAAAAATTTGAGTATTTTCGCGTTATTTTGCATGATGTATAGGCAATTTTTAATTTTTGTTTAAGTAAGTTTTTCTCAAAAACGGCGCCAATTTTTGATGGAATTTTATTGGTGAATAATTTCAAAGACGTTTAAGAGAAAGATGTAGGTATCATGTTTGTTGAAAACTTTGATTTTTCGAAAATTGAAAAATTTAATTATTTTTCCGGCGTCTTTGTACAATCATAATTATGAAGATACAATTCTATGGAATGTTCTTTGTGAAATGTGTTCATCAATAATATATCTTAAAATAAGACCATTTTTAATTTTTCAAAACCGTGATATTTTTGGCGAAATTTTGTTTTTAAACACAGGCAATTTTTATTTTCTTTAAACCACTATTTCCTAAAAACAGCACGTTTTTTTATTAAATTGGGAACTTAGATAGTATAAAGAGCCCTTCAGAAAATGGTTCCGGTCCCGTGTTCATTAAAATGCGTGATTTTGTGAAAATTAACAAAAAATTCGGAGTCGTCCTACAACTACAATTGTGATGATACATTTTTCTTAATGAATTGTGTTGATAAAAAGCAGATGTTCAATTTAGGTCATATTGAATTTTTGAAAATACGAGTATTTTTGTGTATATTGGCAACACAATTAAATGCCCGCTGCGTTGTAAGTCTTCATTTGAAAGAAAATGAAACATTTAAGAACACTCAAAATATCTTGGAGACATGGCGAAAAACAATTGTATGTATTCAAAACAAGCGAGTGTTCCATAAAGAACGATTTAGAAGAACTTTCATAAAACCACAACAAGGTAAACTGAAAAACAGATACATTTACGTAAAAAAGGCGCTTTTAGCAAACATTGATAAGAAAATATGTGCTCATTGTTGGCAGCGTCCATCGCTGCATGCGCGCTTTGTTGTCAGCGCTCATTGAGTGTGATGTGTTAACATAAATCGAAATTGTGGTAGAATATTATTACATAACCGTTACTAAGGGACAAGAAAATATGTGCTGTTTTAACACCACTAGTTTAATGATTTCATTAATGTTTTATCACTATCTACGGCAGTTTGTGCTATATTCAAGGATTCCGTACGCTCTTCTCTGAACATCTTTTCATAATATTCCTTCCATGCTGAAGCTTATATAATTTGTAATTTATATTTTTCTTTACAGATGTTCTTCATGGTTCTGAGCGTTTTCCATGCTTTTTTTTTTTGATCGAGAAGCGCCTAAGTCATATTCTATTCTTTCACACTGGTGTTGCCATGCATCTTTTTTGCTTTTACTATTCTTCTTTTTACCTCCTGTTTAATTTCATGTTCTGTTCCTTATCATCTTGTTGTTTTGGTGAAAGCCATTTATGGTGTAAGTTCTTCTTAACTACTTCCGAGTTTCTTAATATCTACTAGTTTAGATACTAGTTTTTTTAAAAATATTTTCATTCCATAAGGTACTCTAATGATTTTAAATTTGTAACACATATAGCGGTGCATCATCTTGCTGAAATTTTAAAATGGGTGATAATTTACTTTAAAAAATATTTTTATGTTGATTTATGATATTCTTGTTCATACAAAGATAATACTGATTTGATCAGTTGAATACATTACTTATTGACGGTGGATTCACTTTGAGAAAAAGTGTTTTTAATTTTTTAGTTCTCATATTACTAAATTTTCAAAAAGAAGTACATTATCAATAATTTCGAATTGTTTAATTCTTAACAGTACTCTTACACCTTGCATCATTGTATGCAAAATGGTATTTCAAAAACTCTGGCAATAACAGTGAAACTGGATCAGAATGATATTCTTCTGAAATAGGAGTTTAAAGGTATACAATATTTTTAAGGTTACATGACATCTCTAACATTTCCTTTCTTTGTTGAATATATAGTTCCATTCAATTGTTCAACAATCCAACTATTGAGTTGCACGGATTAAAAACTCATTTAAAATGGTCCATAATCTTTGACGGAAGTCAATGCACAAAAGACATTCTGGCATTCGTGAGTAGGGTTGCCAGGTCTGCTTCCAAAAAATAGCCGACAAGCGAGGGCGGGGGGTAATTTTAATTGGTTTTTAAACTCCGTGTCTTGCCGCAAGATGAAAGTATGTGTTCTTTACTAAACCACTTATGCTGATTGCGTAAATGAAATCAGAAATGTTCCATCACGTCCAAGTTTTCCAGGAAAAGATATTCCACATATAGATTCCAGAAAATTGGAAACGACGTAGTAACAATACACGAGGAATCTATAATCCAGTAACAAAACTGTTTGTATTACAAAAATTGTTGATATAATTAATTTTTGAACTACAAAACATGTAATGAAAACAGTACGAGAAATATGAATATAGCTTGAAATGAACTTAAAAGTTAGAAACATTTCCTGGAAACTTTCCTCTTGTAGGGTGATGGTGAAAGTTCTTGTAATAGTGTCCAGCAGGAATTTGCCAAACGATTTTGTGTCTAAATTTCCTTATATCGTATTTCCATGGCAGCGATATCTTGGTGAAATCTTGTTCGTCATTTACATGTCCAAAATTAGGTGAGAAGAAATCCAAAAGAGAATGAAGGAAATTAATTTCAGACAATGTTGCACCCCATAGCCTTGTAACAGTTCAACATATATTCCGATAGTTCTCTGTAATTCTCAGACATTACGTTTCCCAATAAATTGTCGCAAACATCGTTCAAAGCAAGCTAAGCTACCATTTGAGTATATGCCATCAACGGTTGAAAGAAAATATCTTTCAAGTTACAGATCTGAGGCCCGATGAAAATTCCTTCTTTTATTATAAAATTTCCAATTGCAGGAAATTTAGATTGTAAATATTGAAAATCCTGGCCATCTTTGCCCAGTGCTTTCAAAATATTCTTAATGAAGTCCAATTTCAGATGGAGTGGTGACTTTATGTGGTGCACACTATGCCAACAAAGGATTCCTGCTACACCAGGAGGTTTTTCACCACGAATAAATATTTCTCTAAAGGCCACTCTTTGACTACATAACAAACTTTCCTTCCCAGACTATTCCAATGACACATGAAACAGCACTATTTTGTGTAATCATTCCTAGAAGTAGTCCCATAACTTTGAAATCACCACAGATTTTCCAGTTGCGATTCGAATAGCCAGTCTACTTCAGGAGTAGCCTCATGTTCTCGTAGGTTTTCTTTAACTGAGCGATTAATATTTACGCAATGCACCACAAAAATGAACGTACTCTGGCAATTTGTCATCGACAAAAACGGAACATAATAAGTCAATATTTTGTGGAATGACCTTCCTTCACACGTACGTGTACACCACGTACACGATGCGTCAGCCTTTCGGCACGCGTACTGCTGCCCGTCTGACCAAAACATCTTGAATTTACTTAAAATTAGTTTCCCAGAACTTCGAAGGGTGGTTCTGTAATATTTCGCGAGCTGCAGTCTATTGGGCCGATTTTCCTGACAAAACCAAGGCTTCGTCTTAGCTATTCTCCCGTTTTAGCCTGCCTCTCGTTTTGCCCTTCGAACGGTTTCTATGGATCCAGTTCTCCCAGTTGTTGAAACCACCCACGGAGTAATTCTAACAACACTTTGGCGAAAATTTTTGCTAATGTGATTGACTGATGTGCTTGATGATATTTCCTTTTAACTTATTCATCGAGTATGGGTTTTCAGCCTCTACCGCATTTATTAATTAATCTTCCACCACCAGTGTGGTTGATTGGCACATCAAGATTTGATGACTTTAGACGATTCTAAGTTTGACTTAAGACAATTCTACGTTTGACAGTCAAATTCACGAACAAAAATACCATATAGTGTTATAATACATGTACTTTCCATTGATATGTGGCTAGGGACTATAAGTAGAACAGCTGCATAGCTTTCGTCAGCCGAGCCGTGTGTGGGTGACCTACCTACAGATGTAGTCCGGATCTCACCGCCCCGCGATATTCATCTTTTCTTTCATCTCAAGATATTTCGATCCGGTCAGCATTAAGCGTGACGCAAAGTTGCAGCTGAGTGTTAAATACTGCTACTATCCCTCGTGACAGACTTCTATGTCACAAGGATACAAATGATCGTCCCACGGTATGACAAATTGCTCAATTCTGGTTATTAGAGTGCAACTGCATGTGCTACAATCTTTTTTTCATGAAATTGGATTTTCTTTTTGTTGACGACCAAATACTTTTTGGATGCTCCTCGAAACAATACAGACTATTTGCTGGTATTAAATGTACCGTATGAAGTATCACTTAGGATCATGCACTCACATCATTACGCTCTTTCACTTACGGTCACTAGAGAAAACACACATGAAAACAAATTCTAAGGAACCGAAATTATCGGTGTGCTAGTTACAAACATTCGTGTTTTCGATTATTATATAAATCCGTGTTACTACGTTTCCATGCTAGAACTCAAAAATTTTGTTCGTAAGGACGGTTTAATGTATACATTTGTTTTTTCCATATTGCTAACGGAAATAGATTTTCAGGTTGATAAAAGTAAGTACTTTTATCTTACTACTCTTTACACTAAGGCAATATTACACACCTACAAATTACTATGTTAATTCTTACTACGCGATTCAATTACAGATTGTTGATAATATTATATACTTCTTAAACACCATCAGATGCAAGAAAATGACGTACAACAAATCACCGCGTAGGAAAAGCCTTACACTATGTAGTGTCAAGAGACTCCACGGGACTTGAATCAAGTCCTGGTCGTCGTTACTTACCTTCAGTATTGGAAGAGAGCCGCTTTTCTAAATCATCACCAGTCCATGCACCATTATGTAAAGCAAGAAGATCCTGGAAAACATAATAGAGAGAAGAATATTTTTAATTTGATTATGAACACATAAAGCAATTGGAGCCGCGTGTTTAAGAATAACATCTCATTAATATACACTATGCGATATAGCCATTAGAAACACTTTCCCCATTGTTGTGGAATTTTTAGGAAATTCTCTATCACATCGCGAGAACGTCAGCTAATTACTCGAAAGAGAGCTTTTTCTAATTTTAATCCATTCCTTATATTCAGATACTGTACAACTACTTACATGGAATGCACGTAAACCAAAGAAAGCAATAGATCATATCAAAATTTAAAAAAAATCACTATACTCTATGAAATAATAACAGAAAGTTTAAAATGTAGAGATCTCGAGATAAACATTATTACCCTTTTCAGTAAAAGGAAAGCCAAGGAATCAAACTTATTACATCGCAGACTTTCATTAATGTTGAAATCCGCCATCAAAGGTGCGATATTTATTAACGCGATGAGACTCCATGACGCTTATCCTGTAATTTAAGCTGAGTAAAACGAAGAGTAGCATACTCCTACATACTCCTTTTTGCAAATATCAAATCATTAGTGCAAAATCTTGTATCCAGAGAACACACACAGAAAAAAGAACACATAATATTCTTCCTTGTGCAATACCAAAAATAGAAACCAAACTGCCCTTATCTTATTTTTGAGGAATCCAATTCCACAGCCGAAAATTGGGATTTACAATCAAATTCACCAGTGGAAATGGCAGCCCTTTTTAAATTATGCCTATGTAGAGTAAAAAGAAGAACGTAATCTATGCTCTTGGTACTAGACAGGAAGCTACGAGTACAATTAAACATCAACTGCATTCATATTGCAACATGATCACTGCAAATGTGTTATTTATTCCGAATGCAAGCATTTATACAAATCTCTCCCCAAGCAAATATTAAAACACTCTTCTACGAACGCGCTCCTGCCACACAATCCAGCGGCCAGAATGGGGAAGAAATTAGGATAGAGGTAGGATTTAGGGTGGGACGACTGAAACACTCTGGATAACGTGTCCTTAAAACGGGCTGCTCAGCGGCAGGAGGAGATCAAGACCAGGCAATCTAGAAAATTGGACAGTTTGGTCTCAAAACAACGGCCGAAACAACTCCGTTGTCAACCATTGTCAACCTGAGTGGGGAATCTCTGGATAACGCCACAGAGTCTGTCCTTGACAAAGGGTTCAATTTCGCGGCAGCACCCAAGGAAATTCCCACTGCAGATATCGTGGCGGGATTAGAAAGTGCGCTTGTGGGAATACCGGAAAAACAAGCTGAGGGCATCCGGAGAAACACCGCCAGGATAGTCAAACATTCACGGGCCCCTCGCCATAACTTAGCTAAGGAGGAACTCTTGGCCCTGAAGATTTTTGCGAGACAGACGTGATCTGGTCATTGTACCCGCTGTCAAAGGTAATGCCACGGTTATCTTGAAAGCCACAGATTACCACGACAAGGTGGCTTGCTGATGACTCCACGAACACGTTACTGGAACACAAGCCGGTGCGCAAGGTAAAAACGGAGACCGCCTCTCGGATCCATAACTCACAATGCATAGAGGCTACGAAAATGCTGGCGTTGTGTCGTAACAACTCGTCGACGGCCACATTTTACGGCCTACCGAAAGTGCACAAGACCGACGTGCCCCTTCGCCCCATCGTTAGCGCCATCAATTCTCCGACCCACTCTCTGGCGAAGCTCCTGGCCGACCACCTCTACCACTGGCTAAAGACATGCGATCCGCTGTGACGAACTCTTCACACTTCGTTACATTATTCGAGAACAAAGGATCAACAGGGGTGATCTGTTAATCAGCTTTGACGTGATTTCTTTGTTCACCAAAATTCCAGTGAACGAGGCCGTGGAAGTGATTCGACAAAAATTACAGGAACGGCGCCAGCCGACCGAATGTGCGGACCTGGCTGCTTTCTGTCTACATTCTACTTTCTTCCAATACCAAGACCGGTTCTGCGTTCAAGCGGCCGCCGCTATCACCCATCGCTGCCAATTTTTTCATGGAAGAGTTCAAGACTGAAGCTCTACGAAAAGCCCAATACAAACCGTCCCTCTGTATTCGGTATGTGGACGACACATTTGTAATCTAGCCACACGGACCGGAACTATTAGAGGAATTTCTACTTTTCCTTAACAGCATCCACCACAACATCAAGTTCACTATGGAGACTGACATGAACAACTGCCTACCTTTCTTGGACGTCCTCGTCAGCAAACGGGAAGATGGCATCTTAGGACACTCGGTCTATCGGAAACCAACCCACACGGACAGATACCTCCACGCGGATTCGCATCAACATCCAGCTACAAAACTAGTGGTGTTGAAGACACTGATCACAAGAGCCCTGAAGGTGTGCGACGAATACTCTCTTTCTGATGAACTCGAGAAGCTTGAACACACGATTAGAGCTAACGGCCACTCTCAATCTGCGAGCAAACGTGCGCTCGCCTGTGCTGAAGGGCGCGGTGCTTCCGAAGTTCGCGACAACGACCAAGGCCTCCACACTAATTCGCAGACAGATGAGGCGGTCAGTACTCGATTAGTCTAGCTTCCGTACGTCCGCAGCGTCACAGATCGCGTGGGAAAACTACTACGGAAGAACAACATCCGGACGGTTTTCACGGCACCTGACAAACTCCACAAGGCCCTGGTACGCATTAAAGATGCTTTACTACCTCTCCAGTCGGCAGGCGTATACGAAGTACCCTGCAGCTGTGGCAGAACGTTCGTCGGTGAGACCGGGCACAGTGTGTGAACGACTTAGGGAACATATTAGCCATTACAACAAAAACCAAAACCACCGTTCGGCTATAGCACTCCATTCCGAGGTCACTGGACATGCCATTGAATTTGACAAGACCCGGCTCCTGCACAGTGAAAACCGATACTGGCCTAGACGCATCAAAGAGGCATTAGAAATTAGTAGACGGCCGCACGACATCAACTCGGATGCAGGCCTTAATCTAAACAACGCCTGGAAGTAAATTCTACCACCAATTCGTGACTGCGCGGGGGCTGTTCAACACCGTCCGATCTCTAGGACGGCTGGTGCGAGGCCCGGGTTGGCTCTCAGGCGAGCTAATCAGAGGGAGCCTCTCCGCCAACCATGCGCACTCTGCGTTTTTTAGTTTTCCCCCCTCCTGCGTTACCCGAGCACCTTTTTTCAGTTTCCCACCCCCTCGCAGGTTTCCCTGGAGGCAGGAATTTATTATCTTTGGGGTACATTATGAATAACTGCCGCCGATTTGCTTGTGCAGTTAGGGAAGGCTTAATTGCTTAGCAACTAAAAACTATCTTAATAACTAATAACTATACAAATTCCACTTTGGGGTTTGGTTAGTTTTTAGGCTTTTTTTTATTAAATCTTTAATTGGAATCTTGAGAATTGTTCAATTTTCTTCTTTAAATTTTTGTCTCACTCGCATTCATTATTTAATAAATTATATTTTACAAACGCATCCATTCATTCTCATTCATAACAAACACAACACTTCACAACACTAATATACACTTTTAAATGACGCTCACGGCGCCGACTTCAATCAAGCGTCCGTTTGCGCCGGGCGACGTCTTCGGTCCCCAGCGACGCTGGCCGCCAGTCGGAGGCGCGCATCCACGCCGCCCTGCGCGGTTTCCGGCATCCGTAGAGCGGCGATTCCCTGCCGCACTTGCGCTCCCCCGCGTCGCAGAGCTCAAGAGAGCTTGTGCGGGGGCAGTGCGCGGAAGGTGAAGGCGAGTGCTATGGCCTTTCTTCTGGGAAAGGTCGGTCTAGTAAAGGAAGTGCGGGCGCGCCGCGACAAGGCGCGCCGCTTCTGTCTACATGCTACCTTGGATGGTGGTGCAGAGTGGCGGGAGAAGCTGCCGCGAATACCTCACAGAAGCGTACGCCCACAAGGGACGCACTGCAGCTGTGAATGAAGCGGCGCTTTGAGGAATTGCTAAATCGGGCGAACGGAGAAGAGGTTTCAAAAGGGAGGGTGCGTGTTTAATTTTGGCAGCGAGTATACCAAGGTGCGCATGGCCAGCGAGGCCGGCTGTCAAGTAGCACGCCCAAATATCTTTCGCTTCGCTCCGCCAAGGTAGATGCCGTGCCAGCCAAGTTCAACGTTTCATTGGGGTTAGCCCTCTTACGAGTGAATGTTGACTGGCGACGCCATTTCCTCGAGGTTGAGAGCGAGGCCGTTTCCGGACTTTAGCCATTCAAGGAAAGCGCCGGGCGAGACATCACTTAAGTAATTTAACTGACTGCCTTCCGTTCGCCGATTCGCGTAGTACGCGAATCATCCGCAACATCCAGGAGCCCGCAGCGTTTGAATACCAGTTCTTGTTTCAGCAGGAAGCGGGCGCGTCATTCACGTATAATCCGAAGAGGGTAGGAGAAAGAACACTCCCCTCGAGGCACGCCTGCCTCGGGCTCGTCTGAGGGACGAGTATACTTATTGACGCGCACTTTGAACTGCCTGTCAGAGGAGAAAACTCGATCAGTCTGACGTAGCAATCGCTCACTCCCGCCACCGCAAGGCCACTCGAGCAAACCCGCTGCCACACAGAGTCGAAAGCCGACCGATCCCAGAAAGAACTGCAGGTTCTGGCCGTCCTCTCGAGGGCGAGGCCCGATCTCCGTGCAAAGGCCGCGTAAGCTTGCTGCGCCGGAGCTGTGACCAGCTCGAAAAGCCAAATTGTTTTCATCCTCTGGAAGAAGATTGGAGAACGACGTATTTCCTGTTGCAAACGTAACAGGATCAGTCTCTCAACGTTTTCCCTAGGATGGAGAGAGAATAATAGGTCTATAGCTGCTCGGGAATAGTTATTTTTTTGCCAGGTTTTTGGTATTAGGCAATGGTCGCAATCCTCCACGCCTTGGGAAATTAGCGCACACGCCAGGCACGCATTCAGGAGCTCGAGTAAAAGCTCCGACTGCGCGCCCGCCCGAGCGCGCAGCTGTTCTGCGGCGAGACCGTCC